AAACGAACAATTCTATCACTTTTAGGTTTTCAACCATGCAATCCTTTTCCTTTCTCTATTCAAGTAACATGTCTTTCACCATCCTTAGAACTAGCCCATTTGTTTTCGTAACTCTTTCTTTATTGGTGATGATGTCCTAAAATTTGACAACATTCATAGAGGAACATCAAAGCTTGCAATTTGTATGACTGCGAAACCATTTCTGGTCGAGACATGTTAATGAAATCCATCCCGCAAAACAAAGTCTCGTTCATATTGTTGTCAATATTAGCATAATTTAATGGTAAATGACATGAACTTCTTTTTTCGAGGTCGGATGTTCAATCCCTCCTACACCCAAATTGTTGTAATAATAAAAAAAAAACCTTTATTATTATTTTTTTTATGTGATAATTTAGAAAAAAGAAATAGAGCTTTTTAAAGTGTTAGGTATCAAATACTAAATTATAAATTTACAAAATAAATAATAGTATTCGAAAGTTTAAATCTCCACTCCTATATTTGTTGTAATTTTAAATAAAATAAGGAATATAGTATGTTTTTATGTATTATAGGAAATAATTCCTTTTTTATAGAGGTACATTTTATTAAATGTAGGTGAAAACATGAAAAAGAAAAAGGTTTTATATTGAAAAGGGAACTTTAAAATTCTTTCAAGTATTTAAAAAACTTTTAAAAGCACTATTGTCCAAACATCATGGAAAAAAAAAATAATAAACAAGTGCTTTAATTTGGTTAGACCAAAATCATACCGTACGATTTCTTTTGGATGTATTCTTTTTTTTTTTTAATTGAAAATGAATTGTTTTAAACTTTTTTATTGTTTTTGGTGCAACTTTTTCCTTTTTACCCTTATATTTTGATTTACTTTTGAGAAAATACCCTTTTATTCATTGAGCTTAAGTTTAGGTTTATTTGATACGTACCTTTTAAAATTACATTTTTGTCCTGAAAATTAATAATATATATTTTTAATCCTGGATGTAATTGAATCGTTAATAATCCTAATAGAACTCAGATATAGATGTGGAAAAAAGATCGATCTCTCTTCTCTTTCCCACTAATCATCCACACCTATCCTCGTACAAATATTATAAAAATAAATAATTTTATCGCATCGACATTTTGGTCACCATTTTGTTAGATTATTAACGGTTCTGTAATCTTATAGACGAGAAAGGAGGTATATAATTCTAAAATTTAGAGATCAAATTAACAAAACTCAAAATTCAGGAATCAAAAAGATTTTTTCTTTAATTTCCGTATATATTAATTTAAAAATAGAACATATGCATCCAAATAAAATTATACTTACAAAAGATAAATGGATATATAATTCATAAATGTATACTGAAAAAAATCAGAGCCAGAAACAAGAAAACACAGTGTATATTTCTTGTTGTTTATAGTTTTGAAAACTATTTTTAAAAATCAAAGATACCAAACAAAACTTTGAATTTTGAAACACTAGTTTCCAAACAAACATTATGAACTATCTTGAAATAAAAATAAATTCAGTGTTTTATATATATGGGGAAGAACTTCCCCAAAGTCACATCATTATCTCATTAGAAAAAGGGTTTTTCAAATTGTTTTGTTTTAACTTTCTTCTATTATTTAAAAAACTGTTTGCTTTTTACTCTTGTGTTTTCATTTATTCTTGAGAAAATACCCTTCTACAGTTCTAAAATCATGTACTTTTTCTCCAAAAATTCTAGTAATACTTCTTTTTAATCCCTGGTATAATAGAATCGTCAATAGCCTTAACCGATAGGACGTTATGTGGCAAAATAATTTTATCTATATAGTTTAAATTTTGTAACAATCTAGTCCATATCGTAAATTTTTTAACTAAAATTAAGTATAAAATTTTATCACGTAACAATTTAATCTTTCTAATTTATAAACATATTTGGTCACTCTTTAGTTTATTAATCCATACATACAAGAAACTTAACAAAAAAATTTTACGATAAGAACTAGATCATTACCAACTTTAAAATTACAATGGCTAAATTGTTACCAATTTGAAAGTACAGAGATTAAATCGTTACCAACTAAAGTTCAGGGACTAAATTGTTACTTTAACAGAAGTGTTTTTAACCTCATTTTTATAATATTTTATGAATAAATATTTTTACCACACATCAGCATCCTAGTCAACATTTCATTATAATTGCTAAGTTATACTTCAAGGACCAAAATGAAGTACTGTAGGAACTTTAGGAGCAAAAGTATATATAATTAATTTTAAAATCCAGGGACGAAATGAAAACTATATTCCATATATTAATTTAAAAGCAGAACACATCATAGTTAAAAAGGATAAATGACAATAATTCATAAATAGATACTGAAAAAAAAAATCAGAGCCACAAAATACAGTATCTATTTCTTGCTGTCTTTAGTTTTGAAAGCCATTTCTAAAAATCATGATGCCAAACAAAACTTTGAAATTTGAAGTAACACTAGTTCCAATTCCAAACAAACATTTTAAACCATATCTTGAAATTAAAAAAAAAATAAAAAAAAATTGAGTGTTTTTGTATGGGAATTTAGGGTTTTATTGGGAGAGAATATAAGCAGAGAAGGATTCATGGTTATTAGGATTCTCAAAGTCACATCATCTGATCAGAAGATTAAACAGATGGGCCATAGGGGACCAATAACTCTCTCTTTTGTCAATTCAGAGACTATAATTTCCTGTGATTGTGTGTAGAATACCAAATGAAAAATTATCATTTTTCTTATATAAATTTTAGTTCAAGGTGAAGATTCCAACTTTTAATTTTAAAAGAAGTTAAATTGTATTGACTAGTTGAGTTATGTTCGAGTTCATAGTAGATAAAAAGGATCTACGGTTTATTTTGTTGATGTTTAATTTTATTCAGGTGATGTTTTTTTCTTTTGAAAAAAATATTAAAAGTGATTGAAAGACGTATTTATCCCAACTAAAAATACTTTAGATTTGGTATACTAGTTGTAATTTTAAGAGTGATATAAAATTTTGAGAAAATATTAATTGTAGTTGAGATCCCGGAGAGAATTGCATGTGATTCTAACATTTTTGACAAATGGACCGTAATTTTTTCTTTCTTTAGAATTCTCTAGGTAAATTCCTTTCAATTCCTACATGGGAGTGGGAGGTCTTTTTTCCGAATTATAAAAATTTTAATTTAGATTTGTGTTTCTATTTATCTTTTTTATCGATCATTTATTTTCTCAATTTTTTTTGTCTGTGCTTTTCCCCTCCTTTTTCTTCCTTATCCGTTCTCTCTTTTCTTTTGTTTTATTCATTTTTTACCACATATATGTGCGATCTCTTATTTTGTTACTTTTCTATTTATTTTACCGTTTGGAGTTCTTTTTAATTTTTTTTACTATCCCCTTGAAAGAATCTAAATAAATGAAAAAGTGACAGGAAAAAAAAAAGAAAAAAAAACAAAGAAAAGACAGTGCCCATGGCACACTAGTAGGGTCGGGGAACTAGACTATATACTATGAGAATATTAAAGTACAAATAGATCAATTATCCACTTACATTATTTAAAAAAAAAAGTAAAAATCACTTACATTAGTATCCTATAAAAGTTTAATAATATATATATATATATATATTGGAGCTATACAAATATAGATAATTAACTAGTGTTAAATTTATTACTCAATAACCCCTTATTTATATAGGTCAAATCTCTATATCTCTTCATTAATTAAATCCTCAATAATTTGTTGTCCAAGTCTTTTGTTTTATTTTTATTTATTTTTGTTATGGTTTGATCTTCATTCTTTTGAATATATATACATATACAAGCTAGAGTATCAATTTATCTTAAATATATCAAGGAAAGCTTATAGTAAAATTAGGAGTTAGAAAAGTATAAATACATGGCAAGGAGGGATTTTAAATCAAGTAATTTTAATTACAAAGATTGATTTATTTTTGTTGTTATTATTATTTTTTAGTACAATTTGTGGTGAGAAAATTTAAACCTTCAATCTCAAGGTATGATCTTGAGTTCAACAATTGCTGAGAACAGATATGGTCGGTGTTTTTATCTACTTAAACTATGTTCGGATTGGCATCTTAGTACTTGGCAACTTAGATTAAATAAAAAAAAATGCAATAAAATATTTTGGTTAGATAATAAGGGTAATTAAATTAAATCAGTCAAAGTCTCTTAAAGTTCAAATCAATCAAGCTAGCTTGACCAATTTCCAAAAACAAATGTGAAGCAAATAAATGGGAAGATTTCCATGATAATAATAAACCTAAGGCAATCATCAATCAATCAAATTAACAATTTAATGCAGATATTTTCATAAATAAATAAAAACTTCAATTTTCAACAAGATAAAAATTTCGCCATTTAATAATTTTTTTCAAGTTTAACAATGAAACTTTAACCTTTAAAAGGTAACATGTGCCTATTTATACACTCGTACTGTGTTAGTTAGATATTTACTGGGTAACTTTACCCTTATGATAAATTTATAATCGATAATTTTTTGGGTGGCTGATCTAAATGGTCTAGGGTGAATTGAGAAGAAATTGGTTAAAATCTCATTATGATCACCTATTAGGAATTAATTTCTACGTGTTTTCGGATACTAAATGTGGTAGTGTCGTCAGACGACTGTCCCGTTGGGCTGTCAGAACACCCACGGATATTAAAAAAGAAAAAGGATTGTAATCCCAACTTCATATATAGGTTTAATTATTTGGTTAAGATATTTTTACCACCTTTAAAGAGTTTACCTCTGCTCTGATGCAACATTCTAAAAAAAAAAAAAAAAAGCTGAACTCATGTGAACCTGAACCAACCAAAATACTTAAGTGATTTACGTTGGATTGGTCGGATTTTCTGTCCCCAATTTGTACTTTTTGGCAAAATTAAGGAGAAAGAAAAGAAAAATCTTTACCGTAGGGAAAAAAAGAACATATTTTTTGTAATTTGTTTGTCAAAAAGAACAAACCCCCACGGAGATGAATGCTCAGAGACAAAAGGCTTTCATTAATTACTCAGAAATGTATGCAAAAGAAAACGACATTACACTGCTTTGCTATCGTTTTGCTTTGTCCTTAGCTTCCCTTAAAACCCTAATTACACACTTTTCCTTATAGCTTTCTCTCTCATCTCTCTTTCTTACCATTAATTTGTTGTTCTTGATCATAAGAATACTTTCTGGGGGCAAAGTTTTTATTACGTGTCTTCTTCTTCATGAACAATAATCTGAAATCTCTCTCTTTCTTCTTGTTGTACTGTTTTTCAAGATGGAGATGGCCTGTGCCCAAGTCGCAGCTCTAGATCAAGCTTCGGATCATCTCCATCATCAATTGATATTAAGGATTCATGATCTCCTTTGCTAGAGATATGACTGCAGTGGGATGAGGACGCGCTCGATGTTCCTCGGAGCTCCTCCGGTGACTTTGCGGATGGCAAGGAAGAGCTGTTGGACGGATATGGTGAGCGGAGACATGCACCTGAAGTGATCGGGTTGAGGAAACCGCCATTGTCGTTCGGTAATTGGTAGAAGAAACAAAAGCCCCCACCGCCACCGCCGTAGATGTCTTCAGCAGTGGGGACAGCGAAAGAAGACGATGAAGGAGATGAGATGGGTTGGATTGAATTGGGTTGAGTTTGGTGGTGGAAACGTGCACGGTCGCGACGGTGAACATTCATGTGACCGCCTAGAGCTTGAGCAGACCTGAATTCGCGTCTGCAAAACGTACAGGTATAAAACCTAGGGGGCCAGGTCGTGCCCATAATGTTTCCCGTATCTTCTGCAAAAGCCCTAATCTCCCACGAATCGTCATCGTCGTCTTGGTGGGGTTGGTTAGGGTTCCACATCGTCGATCGAGTTACGGTTGTCGATCGAGGATCTGATTGAAGGGTTGGAGAGGAAGCAGCTGGGCAGCCATGGGAACAGTTTGAGAGATTTAAGATAGGAGGTGGAGTTTGAAAGGGATAGGAAATGGAGGAAAAGGTTAAAATGAAAGGGAATGGGCTATTGGCATAATGGAGGAGTGAAGACAAAATGCCAACCCCAAAAACATCTGATCTCTAGTATTCACAATTTTGATTCTCAGCAAAGGGTTTTAAAAGATGTTTTCACATTAGATGGTAATTACTTAATCTCTTTGGATTTGATTAACTTCATATACTTTGTTTTTAATTTAATGCCTTCTTTCAGATATAACAAATGAAGAATCATTAAATTACAATATGAAGAGAGAGGATTGGAAGAAGATGTGATTTAGGGGACAAAAAGTGCAAACAAAGGTTCAAAATAAAGAAGAGAAAAAAAAAAGAAGAAAAAAAAAAGAAAGAAAGAATCTCTAGAGTCTATTTGGCTTTGGAAGTTTTTCGAGCTATGTACTATCAATATTGAAAAGATAAGGAACCTAAAAGGTTTATAACATTAGTTAATCTTTCTATTGTCAAGGTAAAACCATATGAATATTAATATGATATCAGAGTCTAAAAGCTCAAACGAACATCTAATTCGAAAATGGAATTGACAGTCCAAGATTGGTGAACCCAAAAGAAACACCAAACTTATGAAATTAATTAATAGCAGTAGGAATGAGATTACGTAAAATAAAATTTATGATTTAGCTGGCTACGTTTGAGATTAAGATTTATTTGAAATTTGGTTCATTCATAAATTCAATTTTTTTTTTATAGCAAAACATGATTTTTACTAAAATTATGATGTATTTAATAAAATAATATTTCATTTATATCAATCTATTAACGTCAGCAATTTGAAAAAATTATTAATTATAAATTAATTATGGGATTATAGAGAGAGATTAGAGGGTCATGATCTTTCTCTTGGAATTTCCCACTAGAAATTAAAACAAAATTTGGAGATTTAACTCTGTGTTCTTACCATGTATACAATGAGTGATGAATTTTCTCTGTCAGTAGTCTCTGCCATCCACTTTACTATGACATGTTCTCTTCCCACAATTTTCAGCCATTCAGCCATAAATTCTAGATGGTACCATATTTTGTTTTATTTCAACGTGAGATCTTTTTAGTGTGAGATCCTTAACATGTCCTTTCAAGATCATGACTCTTTTGGTTCATCGATCTTGGTCGGATCCCATTTTTTGACCATTTGAACGTTTTGGGCTCTAATACCATATTAACATTCATGGGGTTCCATCTCAAAACCAATTGGCAATGAGAGGAGTAACTCATGTCTATTATAAATCATTGTAAGGTCCCTTTTATTTTCAACGTGAGATTCTTAGCAATGCGCACCTCGACTAATTTCACGGGGCAGCTATCTGACCCCATGATATTTAGTTTCGAAAAATACATTGACATTAATTCCTAAGATAGGTGACCATCATGAAGTTTGAACCCATTCTATCTATTGGAGATTTTTTCCAAATGATCTTCATTGTGGTGTTATATTGTTTACTTTAGGCTTAGACTTGATCGCACGTAGTAACCTTCCTCTACCTTAAAGGCTAATTAATATAGAGATATTTTCTTTACTTATTTTTCCATAAATTTTAGCATTAATATATTTATAAATATTAACGTGAGCTTATATGTATGTTCAAGAGAGTTCATTCATGTACTAAGTGCGTAGCTAAGTAGTTACATAGGAATTTTGATTTCATATAAACAATACTATCAATATAACCTAGAAAAGATGGAAATTAAATTAAATAAGACATTATATATGCAAGAAAAACTTGAGTTCAACTCAAACTTATTTACAATGATAAAGCGTTACATTTTTTACTCAATTCATATAGATAGCTGTCCAACTAAATTCTAACAAATTTAAAATTTAACATTTAAAATAATTAAATTACTTTGATTTAATTATTTGAACATGTAACATGTCTAACAACTTAGAAATGGTAAATAATTCTAGTACCAACATGAGCATAATTAAATTGGTCAAATAATATTTACCATCTTAAAGGTTAGAGAAGTAAAATAACTAAGGAAAAAGAAAGTTATTGTTGCTGATGGGCTGGGCTCTTCTCTCATACAAATAGTGATGGGCTGGATCTTGACTTGGTTTTGGTAGGGCTTCAAGCCCAATGTTGAGGCCCATGTTATGACTAGGTAGCAAATTTATATGCCTGCGAACTCAATGGTGTTGCATCAATAAAATATAGACTTCAGTTTTCGATGCATATTAAATTTTCATTGACATGTCCATATTTATATTGATATGAGTTCAATATGAATATAAGGAGTAGAATCGACATTTTCATAGTATTGCAAAAAATTTACCAAAAAAAAAGTATATATATATATATATATATATATCTCACTAATGCAGGCATAATATTAATAATAATAATGTTGAAATCATTTAAATAGGTCGAAAAACTTACTTACAAATTTAAATATTTTTTGATTTTTTTTACAAAATTATACACCGACATCGACATTTCCATAAAATTGAGAAGTTGACATTTTCATGGATATCGACATTTAAAATCTTACTTCAATCAACATTTTATATTTTTTTCCCCTAAAAAGGGAATTATTTATAGAAGTTTAGGGCTTGTTTTTTTGTTGCCAAAACTGTATTTGAGAACTACTATATGTTGTTTACAAACTCATGATTTTGGAAGGAATAATACGAAATTATTACCCTTAATATCTCTACAATGATATGATATTGTTTGATTGAGACATAACTCTCACGACTTTTTATTAGTTTAATCTAAAATGGCTCATATCAATTGAGATAATTATCCTCATCTATGCATAGGATCACCTCATTTCTTGTCTAAAGTGGGACTTTACGTTCCTAAGGAGAAAAATGCAGTTGTAGGTTTAAATAGAAAACTACTTAGAAAACAATTCTCAGACAAAACTTTTATTAGGGAGGCTATTTAGAATGATTGAAGTATTTTAGTGATTTCAAATAAACTCAATCTTTTGCATATTTATAAGTAACAAAAATGATTTTTGATAAAGAGTAAGACGATTACAATAGAATCAACATTGCAAAATTCACTTTTATATTTTACGTATCTAAATCATCTTATCAAATAGATTGCTTGAATCCTCAATATTCCATACAAAAAGAATATGATAGAAGAAAAAAATCTCACCCGTTACATTTAACATAAAAAATTCACTAGAAATGGACAACCCCATTCGAGATTTCTTACCGATTAAGAAATTAAACATGAAAAATGAAAGGGTAATTAAGATGGTCATCATTGGCCCCAAATGGCTCCCTTAAGAAAGGAATAATAATGTAGCCTTTATCTAACCCTAGAAGAGTTTTCACTTTAGTTTATTGAATGGAAATGTTGGGAAAATCAAAAGAGAGAGAGAGAGAGAGAGAAGATAAAATAAAAGAAATGTGAATGTGGAAGGCATGAGAGGGAAGAGCAGCCATGTGATGCCCAAAAAAGAAGTTGATATTTTCATTCTTCTCATAAGCTTTTAATTTGGTGTGTGTCTTTTARTTGGAAGGCCTTTTTTCTTCTTTACAACTATGCATTGTCGGGTTAGGAAGACACCACAATCGGCTTCTATCCCATGATTCATTGCTTCCCCCATCATCTTCAATACCACAACTTCTAGTTTTAACTTATTGAGTGCAAAATTTCCAACTTTTTATTCATGTCGTTTTGTCCAACACATTTTAAGACCTCGACAAAAATTTTGATTTGGAATGTTTGATTTGTACTGTTTTACTGTGTGTTCTGGCAAATTGTTTCTTTTTTTATTATTATTTTTTTAATGTAATTCTAGTTTTGAACAAGGAGTTGAGAGCTCTTTACGCAGGACTCATATGAAATATTCGAAATTTTAGAGATCGAACAAAAGGTAGATTTTGTGTGGCATGCTCCCCTTGTTTAATTAACTCATTCATTTAGTTATTAAAAAATAAAGTTTTGAAATTTTTTTACTTTTATTTTAAAGTCATTAAAAATAAAAGATATTAGTAATTTTTTTTGGAAGGGAATGGGGCAAAAACCCAAACAAACTAAGGGAAAAAAATAATACAAGGATCGGGAGATCCCATAACATATACAATTAGCAGGAAAAAAAAATCATTAGGAAGCTCTTCGCAAAGATGAAATCTTAAAAGAAGATAAATTGTTTGAGTAACAAGTCAATCTCCACAAGAATTAAATTCAACGCAAATATGCTAGATATTAACACTCTAATCTCAAGATAAAAGCTCCTCAATATTTGAAGAAGGACAGAATAATCGAAGTACTTAGCAAAGATATTACAAGCTAACGGCTCGAGAATCAGATTCTACTATAATGAAAGCCAAGAAGCTCCCAAGCTATCTCCCAATCTGAGTTTTTGTTAATTAAAAGATATTTGGTAGAGGGACTCTTTTTAATATACTAGTTAATCTCACCTGCATGGTTATAAACATTTTAATATAATATTTCTAACAATTTAACGTATATAATAACTCAACAGAACTTTTAAATGCATTAATATTTTGTTTCAAATAAAATATATTTAATATAATATTTCTACCCAATTTAACATTAGAATAATTAACAACTCAACGGAATTTTTAAGTGGTACTAATATTTTGTTTCAAATAAAATATGTTATTCGTTGTCAATTTTTCTTTCTTAAGAAAACAACAATAATCTTTTTGTGTGTTTTCTTAAATTATTTACTCGTTCTTTTATCTTTTGTATATTATGTAATAAGGAAGAATGAACCAAAATTAAAGAATTGAAATTTGAGAGAGAAACTGAATACTATGTAACAATCAAAAAGTCATATTAAGATAAATAAGAAAACTAAGACTAAAATATAACATCAATCTATTTTAAAACGTGAAAAGAACCTTAATTAAATATTAAATCAAACTTGAAAATAACATTAACTAAATATTAAAACACGAAGGTATCATGAATATATAACTTAAAAGTAATACACATAAAAATATTAAAATAATCTAAAAGAAATAAAATTTGGAGATAATACGAATACATGATTTTGTTACTCTACCTCTTAATCGATTAAATATGTTTCTGGAATCTCAAATATTCTTTTGACATGGTTCAGTTTTCACTCATGAAGATAAGAAAAATATTCATTAATATTGTAGAA